TTAATGGTTCACAATTCTGCTGGAAGGACACAAATGGGGTTCTGCAGGGGTCTGTTTTGGGACCGGTTCTGTTCAATATCTCCATCAACAATTTAGATGATGGCATAGAGAGTATGATTATTAAGTCTGCAGATGATACCAAGCTGCAAGTGCTTTGGCGGACAGGGTCATAATTCAAAACAATCTGGACAAACTGGAGAAATGGTCTGAGGTAAACAGGATGAAGTTCAATAAGGACAAAAGCGAAGTGCTCCACTTAGGAGCAACCCATGTCTCACACAGCATGGGAAGACGTACTGCTGAAAAGGGATCGAGAGGTCATAGTGGACCACAAGTTAAACACGGGTCAACAGTGTGGCCAAAAAGCAAACATGAGAAGCGCTGTGAGCAAGACACGAGAAGTGATTCTTCTGCTCTACTCTGCGCTGATTAGGCCTCAGTTGGAGTGTTGTGTCCAGTTCTGGGCACCGCATTTCAGGAAAGATGTGAAGAAATTGGAGAAGATCCAGAGAAGAGCAACAAGAATGTTTAAAGGCTAGAGAACATGCGCTATGAGGGGAGGCTGAAAGAACTGAGCTTGTTTAGTTTGGAAAGGCGAAGGCTGAGAGGGGACATGCGAGCGGTCTTCAGGTATCTAAAAGGGTGTCACAAGGAGGAGGGAAACAAATTGTTCTCATGGCCTCTGAGGACAGGACAAGAAGCAAGGGGCTTAAACGGCAGCAGGGGAGGTTTAGGTTGGACACGAGGAAAAACTTCTAACATCCAGGGTGGTGAAACACTGGAATAAATTGCCTGGGGGGTTGTGGAATCTCCATCCCTGAAGATATTGAAGAGCAGGTTGGACAGACGCCTGCCAGGGATGGTCAGGATGATGCTGGGTCCTGCCGCGAGAGCAGGGGATGGGACACGATGACCTCTTGGGTCCCTGCCCGTTCTAGGATTCGCTTGTCTCCCGGCTGCTTTTCAGACTCTCACATATCAAAGCATTTTCTCCATTCCAATAGGCACAACAGCATTGCTCTCTCAAATGCCGTTTGCACCATGAGGACAAGTTGAAAACAGCTTTGTTCTCCGAGTGGTCGGCTGCCACTGAGGAGACGCCTGGGGAAGCCCGGCCATCCCCCGTTAAAGCAGACCTGTGAACATTCTCTAGTTTAGATCACTGCTTCTGCACTATCCCAACAAACGACGATGCCAAGAAACGTTTCCAGAATTGTCGAAGTGCTGTTGACTGTGTGGCTGTGTTCTTTGCTGCGTAGCTGGGCGGGTTTGTCACTCCAGCCAGGGAACACATGCATGTTTCACCAGTGCGCTGGATGCAATGATTGTGGGGGATCTCGCGTTACCCCCGGGCCCCAAATGAACCCTTAGCAGCAGCAGAACAACGGTGTTCTAACGTGCACACGGGCTTTAACCATGCCTTCCCTTCCCACCACGGCCCACCAGGCTGAAGTGAAGGGTTGCATGGGCAGGGCTTGATTTAGGGCTGTGTCGATGTGTAACAGCCTAAAGCGCGGCTGCAGCAGCGACAGCGTGGCCACGACACGCGTGGAGAGAGAGCTCTCCCAGTGCGCTATACAGACCACCTCCAGGAGATGGGGTGGGGGCGTTTCCCTCACACTCCTGAGCCAGAGAGCTGCAGCACCACGAAGTGCCGGTGTGGACTCGGCCTTGGAGTACGAGCTTTGCAGTCAAGGCATAACCTTTGGAAACTGCAAAGTAGCTGCAAACAAACATCCATGCAGCCTCATTGCTAGCCAGGGTTCACAGGGCCCTTGTTTCTCTTTCCATTGGACTCGCCCACTAACTTTAAAACAAGTTTTACTGGAATCTGCCTAGTTGTTAGAAACTCGTTGATTTTTCCATGTGCTGAGACACAAGTATCGTCTGAAGCATTCCGGTCAGCGCTGGTTTCCTTACGGGCCAGAGGTGAGATTCCTGGGCTGCGCCCAGTTACATAACGAAGCTGGTTTTCCCCTCTCCTGCATGGAGAGCGTTTCTAGGAAAGAGGCTCTCTAAAGGCCGGGGCTGCACAGTTTTAAATCCTTCAGTCACCCCCACAGGGAATGCAGAGGGAATGGGGAGCTGGCTGGAAGAGAACACTGACTCGGACAAAAGCCACAGGGCACATCCCACCACTGGTCCTGTCTCAGCAGGGATGTGGCTAAGAGGCAAGCGCCTCCGAGGTGCACACCCCACTCCCCTCAGGAGAAGGGGGGCAGCAGCTCTCAGCAAGATTCACCCCACTCCAAAAAGCCATGGGAAGAAGTCGAGCCTGCTCCCCCCACACCACACTACGTATCATTTATACCTGCGCCAGCTGGGCGCAATATGCCGATAGCCCATTTCCTGGGGCGGAACAGGCAGGTGCAAGGCTGTGGTGAGCCAGGTGCAGGGTCCTGTGGCTACTTGCGCAGGTTTGCCCTACACACAACACCCGCGCTCGGGAGGAAGCCGGAATCAGGAGAACAGGGCTCTGGGAGGCTTCCTAGCGACGGGGGATCGGTTTGGGTTGACGGCGTGAACGGAGGGAGGCGAACGAGCAGACTCCGAGGACACGTGTGTATTAGGCTTTATCACGGAATGGGCGAATTCAGACAAGTGACTGTTTTGACAACACGCGTTTGAATGCGGACGAGCTACTCCCCAGGCCTCTCCCTCACACAGCTGGGTGCTAGCAAGGGGACTCAGGTCACAGACCAGAACTCCACTCAGCTCCTACCAACGAGACAGGCCAGGAGGAACGCCACAAGGACAGGCCACGGCACAGTCAGATGCGCCTGTGGGAGGCTTTTAAGCACAGGCAGAGCACCAATATTCAGTGGCTGGATCAGCGCCCGTGCCACCACAGAAAAGCCTCCATGGCAAGGAGTGGGCGGGCTGTCAGGCCCGTTCTTCAGAGGGCCAAGTGGGACGGATACAGCCACTGCCATGCAGCTCAGACACGGACCCAGCGCCACCTCCACAACCACTATGGGAACCAGAACCCAATGAATCTCCACCCCTGATCAGCGCCGCACCGAACCCCCCCCCGGCATCCCGCTGTAGGCTAACCCAGGCTCTGGAAAACACGGAGACACTGGGGAAACCCGAGTGCAGGGACACGCGGCCCCTTTCAATCCAGGACACGGCGGAGCAGCCACGACCCGCGTGCAGCTCGAGGGGGGGACGTTTCCCAGGTCACAAGGCCCCCTAGGAAGGAACGTGCTTCAAATAGGGAATCCCATCTAACTCGCTAACTGGTTAAATGTTAAGTTTAACTGATTAAACGGGGTTGGGGGGGAGCGGCTGCCTCCCTCCCTGGCTCCTTCCTGCCCCATGTTGGGCTGCTGGCTCCCAGTCCATGCAGTCTGGGCTCGGCAGCCTCGCGAGGGGCCAGAGCAGCTCTTGGCGTAACCGTTAACCGTTCATATCCCCAGTCTCGAAGACATTTCCTTCACTTCCCTGGCATTGAACGGTGGCGAACGGTTTTGTAAACAAGACAGAGCAGCTACTTCCAAGAGCAGTCCTGTTTGTGCTTTAGCATGGCGAGGGCAAGGCTGAGCTTAACCTCAAATGGCTTTTGGACCGCCCTACTTCTATGGGCCCTGGATTTTTACATCAAGCAGCCCGCCTGTTTCTGCTGCCCGGAGAACACGCAAACAGGGTTTCAAAGACGGGCCAGGTCCAAGAGACACTCAGCTGGGAAGCGGAAAGCTCGGATTTCGAAAGGAAATCGCCAGAGATTAGAGGAACACGAGACACTTGGAACTTGTCTAGGAAGGGAGATGGCACACAAGGTATTTCAATGATGAGGTTACGGGGGTAAGTTGATCTAGTGCAGGGTTTTCAAAGCTGGGCCGTGGGCCCGCCTGGGTAAGTCACCGGTGGGCCCCGAGACTCTTGGTTTATCTAAGCGTCCGTAGGCATGGAGCCTGGAGGCGCCCACTGGCGGCGGTTTGCCATTTCCAGCCAAGGGGAGCTGCGGGAAGCAGTGTGCGGGGGGGCCACGACCCAGCTTTGAAAGCCCCTGATCTAGCGCAGTGTGTCTGCATTACGGCGTCCCTACATGGATGGGTACGAGGCCCTATGATTGGGAGCAACGTGTGGGCCGACTGCACAAATTCTCCTTTCAATCCCGGTGAATGCGAAAAGCTCAGCTCAGAGCTGGGAACCTTCTTCCCCATGAAGTATCGCGGCCTAGTGACACCCCAAATTAGGAATGAAGTGAGCAAGAGACGCATGAAACGGTCCGCACGTGCCTGCAGACTGCTGCCTTCTTTGGCCATTCCACGGCAGTGACGAGGGATTCTGAGCATTTCCATGGCTGGTGCTTACCCGGAGATGCATCTCAAAAGGAGCCTGACAGTCAGAGGGCAGGAGCAGCCCGAGATCATTGTGCACGTCATCCATGCCCAGGAGCTGGGGCAGGACTTGGCAGTTCGAGATCAGAGGCAAGGGTCAGAAGCCAGGAACCGGAGCCCAGGGTCAGGACTGGGTTACTGGAGTGGGGAAGGCTGGGAACAAGCAGACTCAGGCCCTGGGCGAGTGGTTTGACTGGCCTACGGACTCTTCCAACCAACCAGGCCACTCACGCTTGGCTTGCTAGGGTGCCCGGGGACTGGATCTACTGGTTGGCGCTCAGCCCTGCTTCAAAACAGGCCTCTTTCCAAGGTGCCCCAGGAAACAAGAAGCCTCCGGAGACCTGCTAATCACTTGGGAAGGTTTAGGCCAGCGGTTCCCAAACTTCTCTGCATCACGCACCCCCAAATAGCAGCAAAACTTGTTGAGGAGAAAAAGGGAATTGACCAGGGCGGAAAAACAAAAATAGCAGCAAAATTGGGGAGGAGGGAGGGGAGAAGAGGGCCGAGGGGGGACTGGCCCGCCCCCCGTTTGGGAACCCAATGGTTTAGGCTGGAGAGTTGTCAGAGCGACCCGAGGGATTCGAGGCCACGAGAGCCCGCCCTGAACTACTGCGCAGCGCTGGTCAGCACCGAGGCAGGGCACCGCCGCTTACTCACATTCTTTCATCATGCCGATGTCCACGCAGCGCTTCAGCCGGCAGGCCTGGCAATGCCGCCGGTTGTCTTTGGTGATCTTGCAGTCGCTGTTGAACGGGCACGTGAACATGGCTTTTCTTTTCATGCTCCTCCTGCAAGTAAAACACCAACAAGAGGCTTGTTTGCTGCTCAGGAAGCACGGACGCTGTGTGGGGAGACTGCTGCAGAGCACTGCGTGGGGCAGCGGGAGGGCTCTCCCCGATTCAGCCATGCTGGCCAATCACACGGGACTGGGATTTTAAAAATGGTAAATTTCATGATTTCAATCTGAAACTTCCTGGTGTTTATTCTTAAGAGACTGGAGGGGGGTTGGGGCTACCCTTACGTCTGCATTGTATTCCGAGCTGGGCAGCTGGAGAGCAGCAGCTGCTAGCCAGGGGCCCAGCTTGAGGGTGGAGCTGCCAGCAGCCGTGCAGAAGGAAGGATGGCTCAGTATGGTACTGCCACCCTTCCTTCTGCGCTGCCTTCACGGCTGGGTACCCAGCCAACACTGCACCCACCCCTCTCCAGCTGCCCAGCGCAGAAGTAAGGGCAGCAATACTGTGACCCTCCGAAAATAACCTTGTGATCCCTCCGCAACTCCCACTTTGAGACCTGCCGGGCTCCCCCGTGACGTCTAGAACATGGGGGAAGAATACAAAACCCCCGACTTCGGGGGAGAACACTCAATTTCACAGACCAGGACACATTTTGCATGCCCTACTATATTCACAGTCCCTCAAACCCAGCTCTCCAGGGAATGGGCTGTGGGGTGAGGACTGCCAGGATGAGCCAGAAAAGTCCTCTATGGTGCCACTGTTCAGTCTGTGAGCTTTGCATGTTTAAATACCCTTTTAAAAAAAGTTTGAAGGACAGTCACAATTAGCATGTATCTATGGGTTCTTTTAAAGGTTTAAAATGTCCAAGCTGCTCAGAAGGAAAAAAAGGGCTTCTTGTCAACAAGTACATCATGTACTAGAAACAGGAAAATATTAGCCACAGTTTAAATGTCAGTTTTGGATATTGTGAAATTGGACAGAAAAGAGTGGGCAGGATTTACAGAAAAGTACAGAACTGAACCACAGGCAGCAAAAGCAAAGGAAACCAAACCAACTTGGAGCGTAGGTCAGCCTGTGCCTAGCAAGGGACTTGCAAAAGCAGTGGAGACTATTAAACATTTACCAGGCTTTATAGCCTACTGGCTGGAGTGCAAGACACAATCCCATGGCAGGGCATGGGTGAAATCACAGCACGTGTCCCCTCTTAAATGCCCATGCCCTGTGCTGTGCGGGCGCATGGCATGAAGATTTGTAATGCAGGGCACTCAGAGTCCTAGGTCCCAACAAGGTGGAACTTGTCCTCTGACCAGTACTGGATTTCTCGGGGGGCAGGGACCGATTTTTCTAGCCCAGAACGGTCCTAGGGCTGCGAAGCGCTGCCACTACAACACTGCACAGCGCGTGCGGTTTTAAAGACGAGCAGGGGCTCCTCTATTGCGCTTGGTTTCCGTATGGTGCGACACGGGAACCCACCCGCCTTGCTGCGGCTGAAGAGTGCAGTGCAAGGTGCAGCCCAGCTGCGAGCAGACACAAAGTGCCCTGGGGAAGCGCCGTAGTTGGCGATGGACACGAATACCAAATGCACCCTAGAGAAAGGAGGGGAAGTGTGACGGTGTCTCCAAGCAGAGCTCTAAGCCAGGAGGGCACTGGGAGCGGTGGCAGCCCAGGCCTGGACGCCTACCCTGGAATTTTACAGCCCAGCAGAAAAGCCCTGGGAGCCCCAGCCAGATGAAGTGGGCCCGGATGCAGCCCCCAGCTCCCGCCTGTCCCCAGCTGCAGAACCCTGTCCCCACTGGCACTCTGTCCCCTGCTGCAGAACTCTCCCCTCCCAGCACCCTGTTCCCTCTCCCCTGCCCCCAGCCGCAGAACTCGGCCCCCACAAAATGTAAAATTAGAAATGCTTCATTTTAGATGTAAATAGCATGAATAAAAAACAGACCGTTTATTTCATAACTATAAACACGTGATTTTAATTTTATACATCGCATCATTTAAAAATAAACTGTTTATCAGAGTGTGTAAGTAAAGGCTGGGGATAGCAAGTGATGGACAGGAGAATAGAGAGGGCGGGGCTTCAAGGAGGGGCGGGGCTTCAAGGAGGGGTGGGGCGGTAGGTTGTCGCCTGTGCTGAGATTTAAAAAGTGATCTTGGGTGTAAAAAGGTTGGAGAGCCCTGCTCTAATAGGCCAGTAGGAGCCAGACCCGGATGCTGTTCCTGGTGGGTTTCCGTGGGTATCTTACTTTACTACTCCGTGACCATTTCCCTTCCCGGCCTTTGTCTTGTCTCCTTGGATCGTAAGCCCCGCCACGTGGGCTCTCGCTGTACTTCTGTGCAGTGCCTAGCGCAATGGGGCAGCCCACGGCAACACCAGACCGGACAGGAACACGAGTGGCCCAGCGCTGCTTCCCTTCAAGTTCCTCCCACTGGCATTTCAGCGCCACTCTCGGTGGCTTGGGCCACGGCTCAGCAGGAGGCGGAGGAGAGAGCATCTCCAAGCAAATACTGGCATGGCCCAAAGCCGGCAGTGGGGTTTCCCGTTTGACCTTGCAGCCCTGATCCACTTGTGCCAACCAGGCTACTCCAGGAAAGCGGAAAGAGGCCCTGCAAGAGCGACATTACACGGAACAGGTTTGGGGTCATTTAACCAAACAGGGAGCACAACGGTACCTATCGGATACGCTACAAGCCAAAGTCTGTTGCCTGAATAAGATCAGATGGGCCCCAAAATCTGCAATCAACTCTCCTTTGTGGCTCTGTTACTGTACTTCCTCTCCACAGCTGGGCAGGGAGACGGGGAGCAGCTTTTCTCGCCCCGGAGGAGGCGTCCCGCCGCTCGAGTCCTCCGGGGCGAGAAAATCACCGTTCGTAACTGCGGATCCGACATAAGTCGGATCCGCGTAACTCGGGGACTGCCTGTATTTTAGGAGGCAGGGAGCTCAGCAAAATGGGTGTTTATCCTGCCGGGGGCCTCCAGGTTCCTGGGATACAAGTCAATGGAGTACAGTACTTGGGGTTTTGCGCTTGGGGTCTCTTGTAACAGCTGCATGCAGAGCAGCAGTGGCAAACAGCAGGGTTTCAAGAGGCTTTTTAAAAGCAAGCCTTAATGCTCAGAGCACATGGGGGCCTGTGTCTCTATGACAAAGGAAACACTTACAGAGTCAGCACAGTGAGGGAAGACGGCCGACCCACAGACGCGCAGGCTGTCCGGCTCCGTCCTGCCACAGGGTATTTTATGAAACTTACAGAACCAGCCACTTCAAGGGTCCCTCCAGGCATACCGCTGAAAATTAAAATGAACCAAATCCCTTCCCGTGCTAATCCTCTCCTGTGCAGGCCTGAACAGGCTCTGGATTCAACTAAAAGCCAAGTGCATGTCAGTGCATGCCACACAGAGGTTTGGGGGGCCTGGGCATAATCTGAAACCCTTCAAAAGGACTTGCACCAGCTCCCCAGTGCGGGCGTTACAACCAGTCACCCGGGATTGCTGCACTACTCCGGTCTGGCCAAGCTGGCCCGAGAGGCCACAGCGGAGCGCAGGGTTCCAGGGCAGGAAGGATCGTCCCCTCAAAGCCCGGAATGTACCGGCTTGGCTACCAGTGAGAAAGGGGAGATTCCTTCCCCACGCACTCTGATCAGCGACGCGGGGGAGGCTGGAACGAAGAGCGCGCAGACGCGTGTGGCTGCAGGAAAAGAACTTCAATCGCATTCCACTAACCGTGGGCAGTTCTCAGTACGCTGGCTTGGAAACCCACCTGAGCGCCTGCCGCACTGAAAACTAGGCCCGCCATTTAAGAGACGTTTGAAAAGACTTTGGTTTCAAACCTGGGCCAAGATCCCGGATTCTAGGGGATACTCCAATTGGCGCCCAGGAGGCAGTGAGCTCGTTAGGGCAGGCAGTCTCCTTCTGAGGTTTAATTACAGAGCCTATCAGTGAGAGCCTGTTCCCTGACTGGGACCCCTCGAAGGGGCTTCTACAATACAAGGAAGCAGTATCACTCCCAAGGCAGCATTTCCGCAACGTTTTTTATGATGTACCCCTTAAAAACTGTAACTATCCCCCGTGTACACACATTTTTTCCTACCCTTGCAACACATTTGTTTAAACAACCTCATCGTAGCCAGGCGGGCGATGAAAGTTTTGGGTGTAAAAAGTACAAAAATAATAAAGCGCTGTCAAAAACAACAATTGCGTTTTCTCCAAGTGTCAGTTGTGTTGACGTGCCCCCCAGACTTGAGTAGCCCTCGGGACTCGTACCGCGGGGGAGAAACACCGCCCGGGGGCTCTGGGCCACTGCCCCTGCGAAGGAGTCAGCCCCCCAGACTCGTACCGCGGGGGAGAAACACCGCCCTGGGGCTCTGCGCCACTGCCCCTGCGAAGGAGTCAGCCCCCCAGACTCGTACCGCGGGGGAGAAACACCGCCCTGGGGCTCTGGGCCACTGCCCCTGCGAAGGAGTCAGCCCCCCAGACTCGTACCGCGGGGGAGAAACACCGCCCGGGGGCTCTGGGCCACTGCCCCTGCGAAGGAGTCAGCCCCCCAGACTCGTACCGCGGGGGAGAAACACCGCCCGGGGGCTCTGGGCCACTGCCCCTGCGAAGGAGTCAGCCCCCCAGACTCGTACCGCGGGGGAGAAACCCCGCCCGGGGGCTCTGGGCCACTGCCCCTGCGAAGGAGTCAGCCCCCCAGACTCGTACCGCGGGGGAGAAACACCGCCCGGGGGCTCTGGGCCACTGCCCCTGCGAAGGAGTCAGCCCCCCAGACTCGTACCGCGGGGGAGAAAGGCAGCCCGGGGGGCTCTGGGCCACTGCCCCTGCGAAGGAGTCAGCCCCCCAGACTCGTACCGCGGGGGAGAAACACCGCCCGGGGGCTCTGGGCCACTGCCCCTGCGAAGGAGTCAGCCCCCCAGACTCGTACCGCGGGGGAGAAACACCGCCCGGGGGCTCTGGGCCACTGCCCCTGCGAAGGAGTCAGCCCCCCAGACTCGTACCGCGGGGGAGAAACACCGCCCGGGGGCTCTGGGCCACTGCCCCTGCGAAGGAGTCAGCCCCCCAGACT